TGCATGACAAGGACTTAGATGGGTAAGAGACAGCACAGAGATCTGGACAGATTAGAGAGATTGTGCAAAAGAGGTCACATTTTGTGGGTAGTGGGGAGGCAAGAAAAAGATACAAGAGTCTATTCTCTGCAAAATCCAGCCTAGAACCTGGAATGGGCCCCTCAGATTCCTTGTCTCTGCTGTCAGCAAATATCAGTGAAATCCACTGGCAAATATGATTTCAAAAAGAGTTTCCTGCTTTTTATTTTAGCCATATAAGAACATTATGTGTGTTTTCTATGGTTGCACACAAGTGCCTCTCAGAGGGTTCAGACATGGCAACTGTGAGTTCTCACACCTTAATCAAAGGGGTAGATGTCTTGAATAAAGACAGCAGAGATGCCTTCTCCTAAATGTTCATTAAAAGCAAGTTTTAAAATCCCTTTCCGATTCAATTGCTGTTTTCAGTGCCTTGTGTTTTATGGCATTAGTGTCACTATACAGAAGCCTCTATAGACTTCTGCAGTACACAAGAAGTGACTTTCTAATATTTAAAAGGAAGAGCAAGCAGAAATAGAAACCTTTAGGACAAAAGATATTCCTAGTCTTTTTATTTTCTTTTTTTATAGTGTTTAAAGAAGCAAAACAGGCTAGTCACAAGGCTAGTTTTTTCAGTCTGCTAAGCATGTTTGATAGCTTCTTACAATTAGTAAGAGTGAAAGGGGAACTCTGTTCTCTTGAATGGTCCGGTTAGAAAAGCCCAAGTGATTACAGAAAGATGGTTACATTATTTTGAAAACTGGTGCTTTGTTTGCATGTGCCCCATCAGCCCACTCATATCCCAGGAGTGGGATATGAGTTGCTCACTCCATGTAGGAAGTCCAGGGAGAGTGTTTCCCCAGAAGGAACTTGGTACTTTTCAGTCACATGAATGAAACAGAATGGAGATAAAAGGAGCAAATGTTCTTGGGGGAACAGAGAAACGGTTCCTGTTCTTACAGTGGGGAAAACTTTGCTTCCTTGTTCCTACTTAGGCAGAAGGGCATGAAGAGAAGAACAATGGCTGTTGGCTAAAATTTTAGTGCCCTTCCAGATACTTCCTCTCAGTTCCAGTGTCATGTCTGAGTCTTTCCTGCATTAGAAAGTTTTCAGGTTTTCTGTAACAAACAGAAGTTAAAATGAAAGCAATCTATCCAGTACTGTCCAGCAGACAAGTTGTCAGACTGTTCCTAGGTCTAGTATCACCTTCAGCGTCACCCATAATGTACTGGGGCAAGTTGAGCAATACTAAAATCCGGTGTGTGTTTGAAGGTTGAATTCCTTGCCAACACAAGATACTCATCTTCCTTATTGGCCCCATTACGAAGCCTATGCAATTTCAATTGATTTTGTTAACAAAACAAATAACACTGTCATTTGGTCTGGGTTGTTGATGGGTTGATATTTTCCAGGTGCTGCTTTCTAAGGAATCTGAAAGCAAACCAAAACGTGGCCTTTGTAAGTTTTGGATTAGAACACAGTGTTATCTGCATCAGGTGTAAGGAACAAATTCCCTGCATGCAGTCTCAGTCCAGTTGGTTACTGATCTGTGTTTCCCCTTCTTAGTGTTCTGTGTGTACTACGTGACCAGAGGGATCCTGCAGGAGAATCGCCAGGAGCTCATTGTCTTCGTTCTCTCCATCGTGCTGGTGATGTTTCGATCCATTGTAAACTTCATGGTTCTTGCTGAAGAACAAAAGCCAAAGCTCCTGGTCAGCATCCCAGTTTGATTTCTTTTGCTTTTCTCTACACATTAACTTCAAATATCTCAGCAAAGCATCCCACATGAGGCGGCATCACAGGGAATACTGGGCATTTATTTTTCCTGCAGGGGGCCATAAAGTTTGTCATCTAGGTACTATTATGCCTTCATTATCACAGTTACCTGCATGCAGTACACACATCATTGGATTTTATCTTCACTGCGGTTGGGGAACTGAAGCACAGAGCTAGAAAACTGACTTGCCCAAGATCACACAATGAAGTCTGAGCTGGGAACTGAATCCCCTTGCAGGACCCTGACATTAGCCCAAGTTCCCTACCACTATGCATAGCTTTGGCATTCAGCTTTAAAGGAAGCTGCAAACCTACTGGGACAAAGGGGTGGCTGAGGGATGTGGTATTTAACTTACCGTGCTTCTGTTTATTAAGCTAGTTCTGTGCAGGGGTATAGTTAAGCTTCTTCCCTCCTGCTTCCAGATAAAGCATCCCCCTTTTTGCACATATCCCCTCCAGGGTGGGAAAGAATTTCCCAGCTGCAGTTACCTTGACATTAATTGGGGCACACAGGAATACTGCAAACAAGTCACTTTAGAGATGAAAGCTGTACTGGATTGGCTCATTCAATTTACATACCAATAGCATATGTAGTTACTACTTCCGTATTTACAGTGGGCAGGGTTGAAAGGGTCGGCAGCTAAAAGGCGTCACAGAGATGCAAATTACTTGATTGTATAAATCCAGGCCATCTGCTTATATATTAAACAGAGGTCTGGTCTGCAAGTTTTATAGGTAGGGGTGATTTTTTTTTTTTTACCATACTAGTTACATGGACAAGAGGTTTAGTACAAAATGACAGGTGCTATCCCAGCTTTACTTATTTATTTATTTATTGCTTCCTGAGCAAAAATAAGCATTTTCATACCAGTTATAATTGTATCCACACTAGGGCTGTTTTGGCATTTTAGCTGCAGCAGTACAAGTAGAGCAGCAATAGTTGCTAATGCAGACAAGGCCTCAGATGCAGCTATTTGTACAAACCCCAGAAGGTTCAAAGTTATACTGGTTTCCCTCGATTTATATTGTACGTGCATTCCTGGAGAATAATGCATAAACTGAATTTGCATAAAGTGAACCCGCTTTACAATGTAACAAATAGGGAAAGCTTCCCATGGCAGGGAGGGAGGGAGGCTGGGAACAGGGAAGGAGTTGGGGGGAAGGATGTCACTCCCGGGGCTGCACAAGGTAGCAAAGCAGAGGGAACAGAGCAGCACTCACCCCAGCCCTGGCTGCAGCAGCCTTGGGAATGGCTGGCGCCAGCTGCCTGCAGCCACAGGGCTACACCATGCTCTACCTGTCTTCACTCACTTCTGGTCCTCAGCTGCGCCATGCCCTGGTGCAGGCAGCTGGTGTCAGCTGCTTGCAGGGCCGTTGCAGTCAGGGCTGGGGTGAGTGCTGTGCCCTGTGCCACCTGGGACTCCACTTGTCTGCACTCACCCAGCCCGTGCTAGAACAGCCCGGGGAGCAGCCGACACCAGTTGCCTGCATCACAGCACGGCCCAGCCCAGGAGCTGGGGTGAGCCCAGGCACGGGGGGACAGGTGGAGCCCAGCCCGTCTGCTCCTGGGGCTGCTGCAACTGGGGCTGGGATGAGTGGGGCTACTGCCGTCTCCCCTCCCCCCACAGACTCACCTACTTGGGCAGGGGGGCATCTATGCTGATCGCATAACTGTGAATTTACCTCTAATATAACGAATTATGGGTCTAAATATGCTCATTGCATAAGAGCAAATTTGCATATAAAGAACCCGCATACATGGAGAAAAACCTGTATTGAACTTACTAAACATAGTGTTTTGACCATTGAAACTAACAAGGAAGATTCTCTCCTCAGCAAGTCAGACTTTCTACTTCTTTATGCAGACATGGAAACTCCCAAAAAGTAATCTCCTAAAATAAGCTAGTCATTGTCTGATTTCCTTGTTCCTTCTCTGTTATTTCCAACCATAACAAATTAATTGTAAGTGCCGGCTTTGTCTCCACCTTTCTGTTTACAGCTACCTGGCTGTAGTGCGGCCAGATCACATAGGCCACTCTAACCACTTGGATTTTCTTTTCTCATCAGGCCCGCTTCATTCTGATCCTTTTGGTTGGAGCCTTTGATGTCATATGTGCCATCATCCTCATTCAGAGTCAAAGTATGATGGCCTTCCGGGTGGGCGGAGCTCTGGAAAGCCTCCAGTCACAGTATTTTATGTTGAACCTTTGCTTTTCTATGTTGACCTTTGATCTTCAGGCACAGGTACTAATAACTTCTGCTTAGTTTCCTTCTCCCATGAATATTAACTGTAAAGTAGAATTGGCCTGGGGCACAGAATACTTCAGCAGTGACCCAGCTTCCGGGTTCTGTTCTTGAGCTTAGCCATTGACTTTCCGTATGATCCTCTTTGTGCCTCACTTTCCCTACCTAATTGCCTTTAAAGAGGAATATGGCTAAAGTCCACAATGTTGATCTAGATAATATTTTCCCCTTGTCATGTCAGACAAAGCTGAAGCAGTATCATACTATTTGGAAGGAAGTTTGCCCAGACATGCAATGACTCCCAGAAGTTTTGCTGTACCACTGTTTCCACATTCCTCAAGTGGGAAAGGCTTATCAACAAATAGCTTTGCAGCTTGTGCAGTTCCTGCTTGGGTATCATTTGAACTGCTGCCTCTACGTTTGGCACCAAAATACTGGATGTGGGAGAATTGTATTCTAGTACAGAACAACTTGACCTAGCAGAGCTTGGGTAGCAACCCAAAGCTCCAGTTATCTACAGTGAACCACAGAGCCCTCTTTGGGAGAAGGGGGTTCAATATGAACTGTTCCCTTTCCAGTATGCTTCTTGCTAGTGCTATATCCTGTGAGCATATTGTTGGTGCTGATATAGGTTAAAGGGTATAATGTAAGTCCTTGCTTCCCCACTTTGGTACTAGCATGTTTTCCTAAGGGAGAGGTATTCTGCTTTTTAAGCTCTACCCCCTTTGACCCCTGGGAGCTGGTGAGATCGCCTCAGTCACTTTGCATCTTTGGACTTGCACAGCTTAAAAACAGCAGTTTCATGGTTTCTCCGTCTCTTGCCTCTCAGCTCTGCTTGTGTGTTCTGCTGCTGACGAGTCTGCATGAAATTACCCTTGCACACAGCATCATCCTAGCAACTGGGGTCCTCTGGGCTTGTCTGAAAGTAACCATTGGCATCATTGCAGTAAGTGTTAATTTCTGAGTAGGACTCCAGGAATTCTATAATTCCAGGGCAGGGAGTCGGACCTGATGATCTGTTTAGGTCCCTTCCTGCCCTATGTACTATGATACTGTAATACTATGATAATGGGACATACACTCCTTAGGGAATAGGTGGTCACACTGGGGATGAAAACATGTCTGGGGATCACAACCATCCCACGCTTTACATAGTCAAGAAGACATGGGTAGGTCCACCATGAAAAAGGATGAGTAGCACTGAATTAGGGCACCCTTTAAAATGGTAAATGACTATATTAAGATTGAAATAAGGTCTTGCGAATTTGAAATTTTGGATTTTAGGTTAAACTTGAGCACAAGTTCCACTGAAACCTTTGGGAGTTCTGCCCCAGCCAAAGCTGCAGCATCAGGACCAAAGTTGAGTCCTATCTTTTTATCTGATGTTGCCTGGAATGAGTCAGGTTCAGAATTTCCAGCATTTTTCTGATTGCTTCATCCACTCATGCAAATTCTTAATGGATGAAGTGGTGTTTTGTACAGCGAGTTACACATACCTTTCCGGAAGCCTGCAATTGTTTGCTTTTCCACAGGTACTATTGACTTACAAAGGTAACCAAAATAAATGGGAATTTTAAAAACTGTTTCCCTCTAGGTGAAATGCTGCATACAGTCAACCCTCACCTGAAGCCAGGCATCTGTTTACAGAAGTTGCAACAGACTCCTCCTCCTCCTCCTCTTTCTGTGAGAATAGCAAAGCCATCTTGAAATGCCTGGGCAGGGAAGTCAGACAGTAAAATGCCCATCTGCACTTTTTCTGTCTGCACTTAGATACCCGAGTAAAGTGTTAGATCTCTGCTTTCTGACTGTGTCAGAGAGACAGCTGAAGCAGGGAGGGTAGTTTCTGGACAGCAATACATCTCCCATCAGGTTTTTACCACCCAATGTCAAAAAAACAAGTTTAACCTGAATAGCTGCCCTGCATAAATCTCTTGGACTGTGGCTTTTCTCAGATTCACCTGGAGGTTGAGAACATGTTACAAGTTACATAATGACCCACACAGTCTCTCTGCATCTGTGGTGAGCTGTTCTTGCATCACTGTAAAGATGCTCCAGTGGATCACCTGCCTGCTTCTTACCACCCTGCTTTGAGACTTCCCTGCACTACAGTCTCTCTTCTCCCCTTGCTTTCTATTGTTTTCCAGTCCCCTCCTCCCTCTGTCTTGGGCTGGTTTCCCACCCTCCAGTTTGGAAGTTGATTTCCTTTCAGCCCTTGTTTCAGTGGGTAAGGGACATGGAAAATAGGGCAGACATGTACCAGAAGAAGTTACCCAGTCCACCCCCTTGCCCCAAGGCAGGATCAGATACACCTAGCGAACCGCATATTGTGCACACCCCATCCCCAGTCATCTGTCATTGCAAAAAGGAGCCCTGTGTAGTGCCCATCACAGAATGTAAGGCTGCCATTTGTGCCACAAAATCTCGATGTATCCTGCAGAAGGTGTCTGGCACCCCCACCTTTAGGATCTTGGCTGCAGAGATACAGGTACTGGCCACTGCCAGGAGGATACTAGGCTTCATATGCCTGTAGCCTGCTGAGCTATCTGGGCAACAGTTGGCTCTGGCAGGTGCATGGTGCCCTGTGATTCAGCACATCTGTCCTTGAGCAGCCCTGCCCTTCTTGTGAAGGACACTGGAGTCTGCTGCTTCCCTCAGGGAGAAATGTATCACATCTCGTCCTCCCCAGCCCCTGGGGCTGAGCACTGAAAGAACTGCTGTGTCACAAGGTTTTCTGTTGCTCTCCCCCTCCCAGACTTTAGTCTTCAGTGACTTCATTTCCCTCCAGGAAGAAAAAAATTGAAAATCCCAGGGTGTCACGTCTGCAGGTTCAGGTTCCAGAAACAGCAATGTTCTGGGGTGATTTCAGACTGCATCTCAGGGAACCAAGCAGAGAGACTAGGTCCTTTACAGCTCTGCAGAAAAGGACCTGGGGGTTACGGTGGACAGTAAGCTGAATAAGCCAACAGTGTGCCCTTGTTGCGAAGCAGGCTAATGGCCTACTGGGCTGTATTAGTAGGAGTACTGCCAGCAGATTGAGAGAAGTGATTATTCCCCTCTATTGGGCGCTGGTGAGGCCACATCTGGAGTCCTGTGTCCAGTTTTGGGCTTTCCACTACATAAAGGATGTGGACAAATTGGAGGGAGTCCAGCAGAGTGTAGTGAAAACAGTTAGGAGGCTAGGGACTAATGACTTATGCAGGAACTGGGTTTATTTAGGCTGGAGAAGAGAAGACTGTGGGGGTATTTAATAGCAGCTTTCAACTACCTCCAGAGAGGAGGGCTTCAAAGAGGATGGAGCTGGACTGTTCTCAGTGGGGGCAGATGACAGAACAAGGAGCAGTGGGCTCAAGTTGCAGCAAGGGAATTTTAGGTTAAATATTAGGAAACACGTTTTCATGAGGAGGGTAGTAAAACACTGGGACAGGTTACCCAGCGAGGTTGTGGAATCTCCATTCTTGGAGGTTTTTAAGACTCAAGTAGACAAAGTCCTCGCTGGGACAATATAGTTGGGGATGGTCCTGCTTTGAGCAGGGGGTTGAACTAGATGACCTCCCGAGGTCTCTTTCTATGATATGTTAATATGACAGTAGCTTCCATGGAGTCACCATACTGAAAACCCAGCAGCTTCTCTGCTGAACCTTGCTGAGAGTCTGACCAGGTGGCTCAAGCCAGCATTGTCTGGCTGTGGCCAATTTCCCTTCACTTCCCTTCCCCCCCCCGGCTTCAGTCTTGGCCCATAACGTCACCTGTCACCCTGTCTCGGGGCACTCAAGCTGGAACAGCCCATCCTGCAGAAGTGCATGGGAAGGAGGGCAAGTGGGGACAGGAGAATGATACCTGTGACCCAGACCAAGCCTTGAGCTCAAGTCTGCAACAGTAAAAGATAGTGAGTTAACTTTGGCACACTGGCTGGGAGGGCTGGCTCTGTGCTCTGGTG